ACCAAGCCAAGGGTTGAGATCCCCTTACCGGTCATCTTTAAAAAAGAAAAAAAAAAAAAAAGGTTATGCTGAACCCAGATGACCTACCTTAGCCCCTACCCCCTCCCAGCATTCAGTAAACTGGCCTCCACCCCACACTTCACCATCCCATCCAGAAATATAAGCATCTTTGTCCCTAAATGTCTTCCCAGGAATGCTCTGTTCCTTTCTTGTCTTCCTCAGAGCCCCAGCTTCTCATTCAGCCCCTGACAATATCCAAAAATAAGAGCCACTTATCCGGAAATGGATGGAAGGTAAAGATGTTGAAGGGTAAGTGGATAATAGGTATAAGAAAAACAATGCAGGTGACGTGCTCACCTCAGTACTACCCAGGGCAGCCCCCTGGGCAGAGTGGAGCGCCAGAAGAGAGAGAAGAGCCACAGCAGGAAGAACTGGGATCTTCATGGTGTCAAGTTTGGGGTGCTCTGAGGCGGGGCCTCGCTGCTTGCCCTTTATATTCCCAAGGAGGTGGATGTGAGCAGAAATGGGGTCCCCACCCCACTGACTCACCCCCAGATCCTGTCGCACACCCCCGGGGCTCTGGGAGGGGGAGGCATGGACTGTTCCCCATTTACCCAGGATTTCTCAATTCACATTCTGCCCCAGGCACTTGGAAGGTGAGACTGCAATGGGTCTCTTCATGCAAATGGGGATGGGATGGAGACAGGTTGGACCTGTCCCTCCAAGGGATTGGCACTGGCACCCAAGCAACCTCTCCTTTTGTCTTTATCCCTTTTCCTTATATCCTTCTTATAATTCGAGCTTCCCACCCCCACTCCCACCCTACCAAATTCTGTCTAAACTCCTTGGACTCGTATTGAAGGCCTTCCATGCTCTTGACTGAACCTGCCTTTCTTACTTTTTCTTCTTTTACTTGTTTTGTACATGCCTCATTTTCTAGCCCAGCTGGACTCCTTACCAAATATACCCTTCTTTTTCTCTCCTCCAAGCAACTGGCCAGGCTGTTTCTTATTCCTGAAATGCCCTTCTCTTATCTCCAGTTCTCAGAACCCAACATCCATCTTAGATGAAGCTTCCCTGATTTTTCCCACCGTCACCTGTCCGCCTCCCCACCCCACAACACACACACCTCTCCCTTCTCGGAATTGCTGTGTCAATTCATTTGTATCTCTCTGGCATTTTACCTACAGTGACTTATATTCTTCTCTTGTTTCCCTTTTAGAATATTAAGTTCCTTGAGGTCAGGAACTATATATTAATCACTTTTATGTCCCCCTAGCACCATGCCTTACACAGAATACAGGTGGAGTCAACATTTGTTAGATTGGAAATGTTAGGATTAGTATTCATGCATTCTTCTGCCAAGTTGGATACTTTCCTCCCTTGCAGTTGGATCCCTCCCATTATCCAACTATCTTTTACTTTTGGGTCTTCAGAGACATGACTGTATTGAGCTAAGAAGGCAAGGAATAGAGAAACACAAAAAAAGCAAAAATAGGTCTTAGAGATGCTCAGTTGGAGATGGGATCTAGGTATCCTGAACTTTGAGTGCCTACTCCATTTCACTGGGCTTATCTCACCTCCCATCCCACCCCGCCCCACCCCCAGCTTGGGAGTCAGATCACCTCAAAGTAACAAAACATCCTAATCAAGAAACCTTCTCCACAATGAGGTTCAGGTGGCCCAACCGGTTCCTGGTGTAATAGGGAGGTACTGGGACTTGGACCTGTGCTGCTAGGGCAGAGCGAGACCTTATCTAAGAGTGGGCCTCTTTACCCCAGCCTGATGCAATGCATATTGGTGGCAGACCTGGGATGGGAGGGCGAGATGTCGTTCATGAACAATCTTTATGAACTCTAGAAGCTGGGCACTTCAGTTCAATTCTCATGCAGCCCCCAAACCCCAGTCCCAGACATCCTCTCCTTCCTCAGCCTCAGGAAGCCTCTCCTGTTTTTTTGTTTGTTTGTATTGTTTTTTGTTTGTTTGTTTGTTTGTATTATTTTTGTTTTTTGGGTTTTTTGTATATTATTTTATTTTGTTTTATTTACCCATTTGTCTATTTCTCCCCTGTTTTTATAATGGCATCTTCCCCTTTGAGGAGCTACCTAAGGAAACAATGTTGAGGAACACTCACAAAACACAGATGACCATACGGCAGTGGATATCTTGTACAATTGGTACTATTGGAGGGGACAAGTTAGAAAAAGACTGAAGGACTGAGGTGGGTGGAGCACCTCCCAAAAGGTTTTCTGGAGGACATAAGTTTTTTGTGTAATGAATTCATACTAATTAATTAACAGTGACTGAAATTGCTCATTAGCTACCATTCTGTCAGCACAGAGTCAACTCAAGGAGTGGAAGGAATGAAGAATCAGACAAAGGAGAACTGATATTGTATAATCAACTACAATTAGACGTGCTAATAGAGGAATCCGATTTCAGTTTTGGCATGGGTAATCCAAAGCAGCAGATTATCTGAACACCATCTTCAATTTGGCTCTAGAACCCAGTCTGTGATTGTTCTTTCACAACAAATTGACCTCCCTATGTTTTTCTCTCTACCTAATGGTGCTAATAATAATATTGGCCAATTTATTGAGGGCTTGTCATGTGGCAGGCCTTGTGCTAAATGCTCTAAATGCATGATCTCATTGAAATATCATAGTGATACTGTAATTATCCACATTCTATAGGCAGGAACCACACAGTGTATAGAGGTTTAATATCTTACCCAAGGTCACACATCCAGTGTGTGGCTGGGTCAGCATCAGAACGCCAAGATTCCAGAACCTGAACCTGTATTGCTCCTTCATTATACTGTGGAGTAGTGTCCTACAAAGGGCCTTGGCAGCCCATGTAGCACCTTGTGTGAATTAGACTCATGCCTTGAGAGTGAAGGGACAGACTGCTTACAACCTCCATCAGCCCCCTTTACCAGGTGTCCTTTTATGGTGAGCAGCTGCACAGCCATAGGTGGCAGCTCTGAGCAGATGTGCATTAATCTAAATGATTAAACCATACACTCTTGGCAAAATGAAAACAGAGAACTAAAAGGTTAATGGCAGTCAATGAGCATATGCCCCAGAATGAACCTGCAATTGCCTCAGATTCCAAATGCTTCCTATAGCATGAGCATCTTGCCGCACCAAGTATG